CTCTGATATATATATATATATATATATATATATATATATATATATATATATATATCATAGAAGTTGTAAGATGTTCACGCTATGTTATTCATGATAAATTTCTAACATAAAGGCATTCTTTGGAATGACAACCTCATTCAATTTATATTAAAAATATCTATCATTTTTTGAATTTATTTTGAATTTATTTTCAAGTAGATTAAAATTGAATAACATTTTAAAAATATATTTCATTTTGAAATTGTTTTATAGATTTTGTGCAAGCTAACTTAATAAAATTTCAATTGCAATAAATCATGTAATTGTTGCAGACATTAGCAAATTAGAGTAATTTTTAAATTTTCAATGCGAAGTATAAAAAAAAATTCATTGTGACATTATAATTTTTGGAGCCAAATTTCAAATAGCAAAGTGCGAACAACGAAGTTATTTACTTTCTTTAAATTTAATGTAGCCTATGATAATAATGTTTGTAAGTTTTAAATTGTATTATTTGAAATAGTTATATTACAATCATTTAGTTTTAATCCATAACAAAAACTATTAAATAAAAGTACCTAAAAAAACAGTGAAATGGACCTAACGCTGTCACTCCACATTTTGATGATATATGTTTTCACCGCCCTAAAAAGAATCTTTTTGTCACCTCGCCGTCTTTGAGTAGAAGATAATTTCAATTATGAAAAACGTTTCAAAATATTCTTTAATTAAATGATACTCTAACACTTTCGACAAAATTTCAAAAAAACTGAAAGAAAAATGTTTGAAAAATATAAAAACCCATCTTTTTGGCGGCTACATGAAGCCATGTTTCATTGGGAATGAAACATCATTATTTTAACGATGTTTCCATCTGAAAACGCTTCTGAGGTTTTTTCATGGGAGGCGCTGTACAAATTCCAGATAAAGGTATACGGCATCCGAAGTAGCCACTTGACTCCGAAAGAGTAGCAAATACGTATTGGCATGTTGAGAGAGAGGATTTGAATTCAAATTTTTTAAATTTTTAATTTGAATTCAAACGATTTAAAACAATTACAAATGATTTGAGTTGTTTACATATAAAAAAATATTTTGGAAACAATAAAGTTTCGTTATTTTTTTTTTTTTTTTGACTAAAAAAAAGCTCAATTATTCAAATTGTGAATATTTTGTTAAGCAAATTATTATTTTTATAAAATGAATGCAATCATTCAATCTTACCGCTGTTAGTTTATCAATTTCATGCTATACTTTCATTTTTAATTAATTATTAGAACTTAATCGTCACAGGTAGGAATTAATCCAGCAGTTAATATTAATGTTGTTGAAACATTTATTGAACGCAGCAATGCAGTGCAGGATGCCACAAAGAAATATCTATAGCATTAATTTCTCATATTAGTTGCTTATTCATCTAACTTTTTGTACAACAATTCATTTTTTTAATTTTTAGAATAAGAATAGAACTACTTTCACGCAAACATCTTTGGTTTTATTTCAACATAAATGTTTAAGTTTGAATTAATTTATACACAGTTGATTAATTAGATTTTTGTAAAATTTTAAATTCCGAAATTGAAAAATTACACTGCGTTTTTTAAACCTTTGATTGATCAATTTAAAGAGATAAGGGACTGAATGAATTTCACAATTTCTTCTTTCTGAGACTCGCTAAATTTCGCCAGTTCCGCGTCAACTGTCAATAACAAAATTACATTTTTTAGTAAGAATAACCTTCTTTAAACTTTTTTCATTTGAGTTAAAATTTGGTTGATATTGATTTTACAATAATATAAAATAAATCAATTGATAACAGATCGAATAATTGAGAGTTTTAAAAATAATTCACACCGTTTTCTGGGTAGTGAGCCGGCCTTGGTCCGTCATGCATGATGTAATTGATGGCATCAGTCAAGCGTTCGGCTCGCTCATCAATGGGAATCTTGTTGACAGCGGCCCTGATGTTCTCCCTTAAGACATTCATGTTTAAACTCAGCTGATCACAGTGAACGGTTGAGTAAATGATCGTAATGACGAAAATCGAAAAAATGGACCTGGTGTGCATGTTGCTCTGAAAGAAATTATTCAAAACTTTTTCAATGTTACCAAAAATTATTTGGAGCAATCTAAGCCAAATTTTAGAAATTTATGAAATTTATTTATAACTTTGTTTCACCAATGCACTCACTCGTTGAGCTAAATGAATAAAAATTTAACAAAAATCTGATGTATCATGTTTAACGCCACACCGAAATAAATAAACAAAAACAATTCAAAATGAAAGAATAAAAAAATTGTTGAATAATTTAAACTTGTGAAAAAAAATTTCATACCTTTATACGAACTTTAAAAAATATAAAAACTAAATTAATTTTTTGGGTTGAAGCGATGTTACTAAGACTCAATTTCCGTAAATTTACTGCTGAAAATAATATTCAAAAAATTATGCAACTAATCTTATCTTCTAATTCCCCCCCCCTCTCTCTCTCTCTTTCTCTCTCTCTTTCTCTCTCTCTTTCTCTCTCTCTTTCTCTCTCTCTTTCTCTCTGTTTCTCTCTATAAATCTAAGTATCTGTAATGTGTATTCATATTCATATATATAAATATATATATATATATAATTATTTATAAAGATCACTGCGTTTTCGGGATTGCTCAACATGAGAAACTTAACTACAAGTTGAATAATGCCGAAAACGCAGTGATCTTTATAAATCATTGTATTTATGATAGTCTAAACCCAAAATATATATATATATATACCGTTGCTACCTACTCGTATCCCCCGTGTTGATTTTTAATTCCGAATATTATAAAAGTTAAAATTCGTCTTTTTTCGTTAAAATTTCCTAGTTTTTTTCTATATTACTTCATAATTCTCACAACTTGAACTTAATATAAAGCCATGGCAAAAAGTTTTCCTGTCGAAAATTTAGAAACGATAGTGACGAAAGTTTTGGAAAAATTTAATGATAATTTCCTAAAGTGTCTTGAAAAAGTCATTGACAAATCCAATGAAAACATGGTAAAAGTTATTACGCTCTTAAACAACAACCTAGACAAGTTGCTGGATAAGTCTGACGCGAACCTATCAAAAATTATTGAACAATCAAATGATAACCTACGTAAATCACTTGCTCATTCTGAAAATTAATGAGCCAGCTCTTCGAAACAACTTTTTTAAGAATTGAGACATTAAGTAACAGTTTCGTGCGTGCGGTTAAGAGCATGTCTAATGCTTTAACTGACTCCATGACTCAGCTTCATGCTACTTTGTCCACATTGGGCAATAGCGTTTCCGCATGCCAACAACAAGTAACAAAGCTTAATAAAACTCCAATGTTCAAAACCATGACTAGGGCTCTTTGGACTGTGGAACAAGAGCGAAAAGATGATGAGCAACGGTCAAACAATGTTATCATTTCCGGGCTTGAACTTGAACAGGGAGGTAATGACAAAGATATGGTTTCTCCAATTTGTGAAAACCACCTTCCTATGAAACCTCAGATTGTAAGAACTCGTCGTATTGGAAAGTCAAAATTGTGTGTGACTTTAAGCAACTCACCAGTTGCCGAAGACCTGATTGCATCATCAAGGATTCTTCTCTCATCACCACCGACAAAAAATATCTACATTAATCCAGATCTCTCCAAGAGGCAGGCAGAGCAAGCATTTTTTAAAAGACAGAAGAGGCGTCTCAATAAAACAAGCAACCTGCAGATGATCAGCCCTTTCGTTCAGTCAAATAGAAATGGGCACCTTCGTTTGGCCCTGGCTAACGTTCGTAGCCTACAGAAGAAAACAAACGACCTCAGTTTATTTTTGTCAACTTATGACCCTGATATATTTTTTGTTATAGAAACGTGGCTCACTCCAAATGATCCGGATAATATGTTTTTGTTTCCTTGTTTTAGTTTTGTTCGAAGGGACCGTGGATAACGTGATGGTGGCGTGGCCTTCGTCATTAAAAATACTGTTTTTTACAAGGTCGTCTCAGTATCATCCATATATTCTCACATCGAGATTGTCTCTATTGACGTTCCTACCTCAACTAAGAATTATTGCTTTATTTCCTATTACCGTAGTGGTGGTTTTGACGTTTCAGCTGAGCTGTATACATTTGACATTGTGGGATGTATAAAAGAACTCTGCAAAAACTATTTTCTCGACCCTCTGTCAACAGTTTAAGACTAAACGATAACAGCACAACCTCTGATCCGATGGTAATGGCCAAGACATTCAACAAATACTTTGCTTCTGTGTTCACAACTGATAACAACAACGACTGTTCCCTGCCTTCTCGTACTACTAGGCTGTTGGTTGATGCTAGTTTCACCCCTCAGGTGGTGTATACAACTATGCCTAGTTTGAAGAGTACGTCCTCGATGGGACCAGATGGTATACCCAATATATTGCTCAAGAGCTGTGCTTCAAGTTTGGCAATTCCACTGTGTCACATTTTTGATGTTTCTTTTAAAAACAATGTATTTCCTACCAGATGGAAAACAGCAATTGTTACTCCGATCCATAAGAAGGTTCCATCCAATTGCCGGGTAACTACAGGCCAATTTCACTTACCAGCTCGTGTTACCGAGTAATGGAAAAAATCATCAATAAACAGATGTTATTATATTTGTCTGTCAACAACTTAATTTCCAGCTTCCAACATGGCTTTTTGCCTGCTCGATCCACATGCACTAACTTGCTACAATTTCTTAGCGATTGGATGTCTATTTTCCAACAAAAAGAATGTTGTGATGTAATTTACCTATATTTCCAGAAAGCTTTTGATTCTGTGTCGCACACCAAACTAGTCGATAAAATAAAGGCTTATGGAGTTACCGGTAATCTCCTTTCCTGGCTGACCGATTTTCTATCTGAACGTTCTCAGCTCGTTCGAATTTAAGATAAATTGTCAACCCCAGTATCAGTTACTAGTGGTGTGCCTCTGGGTAGCGTCCTGGGATTTACCCTATTCCTGATTTTCATAAATGATATAGCTGAGTGTACCCCATCCAATTCTGTTAGAATTTTATTTTTTGCGGATGACATTAAGTTGTATTGCTGCTCATCCAACTCAGTTCTACTTCAACAAGTGATTAACGACATAGTTACTTGGAGTACAAAATGGCAGCTACCGCTATCTCCCGATAAATGTTCTCATTGCACTTTTTTTTCTTCAACCAGATCTAATACAGTTCCTTATCAATTTTCGATTGGTCAACACTATTTATCAAACATGGACCACTTAAAGGGCCTAGGTGTAATTGTCGACAATAAACTCAATTTTATTCATCATATTAATGATATTGCTAACAAGGCTTCTTCTCGTGCACGGTTAATCACCAGATGTTTTACCTCCAAAGACAAGGACTTACTTATTAAAGCTTTCTGCACCTACGTACGTCCTTTGGCTGAATATGCCTCATCTGTGTGGAATCCACATTACAAATACCAAATAGACAAAATTGAAAGTGTACAGAAAAGATTTACAAAATCTATTCCGTCTCTACATCATCTCTCATACCTGTCTCGATTGCATGCGGTTGGAATGGATACTCTGGAGCGTCGTAGGCTGATTTTTGATCTATGCCTTCTCTACAAAATACTTCATAACCTCGTTCAAACTGACCTAAATAGTCATTTCATTCTATCACTGTACTTATCAACTCGAAGACATCAAAGCAAATTGCGTGATTTCAACAATAGTGACAACTCAACCAAACATTTCTACTGCAACCAAATCATTCGAATATAGAATACGTTGCCGGCAGATGTCGTTTCTTTAACTTCATATGCTCTCTTCAAAAATCGGTTGCGTTCTCTCGATTAAAATAAATTTTTAACTATTAAATATATATATATATATTTTTACAATTTTCTATAAATTCTACTGAATGTTTGGCGTTAATATGTTTGTAGTTCGTTTTTTCAATTTTTCTCACTAAAGTTTTTTGGAGAACGTTAAGTTTATTAAAATTTAAAATAAAATTATTTTCCGAATTCATGCTGCAAATAAGGCCATGTTTCGATCCCGAATGAATCATCATCAGTGCTTTCTGTTGTTTATATAGGGAAATATTGACTTTGTCAAAATGAATTTAGATGGGGATTGTACTTTGACGTTCAGCGTCTTTTATAGACATCATTATCTTTTCAATCTCAATGATTTTCTCAATTTTTGTTGGGTTTTTTTAGATAGTGGCAGTTTAAACCCAAGTTTAAGAATGCTTTTTGCTTGTCTGTAAGTATGTGGTGGCTAAGATTGATAAATATATCTTTCATAATATTGTTATTTCCTTTGATTATCAGGTTGGTCAGTTTTTTATGAAGTTTTAGCTTTGATGATTGTATATATGCATTTATAAATTCTTTCCGGCATAAGTTTAGTTCATTCTTGACACTGCAGTCGACATCACTGTGATCCCAACAATTCAGTTAGTTGATTGGACAAATCTAGAACTACCTCCTTTTAACTTCTAATTCTCGAGAGAGATGGAGTCAATATTTCCTTATATAAACAGTAGAAAGCACTGATGATGATTCATTCGGAATCGAAATATGGCCTTGTTTGCAGCATGAATTCGGAAAATAAGTTTATTCTGAATTTTAATAAACTTAACGTTCACCAAAAAACTTTAGTGAGAAAAATTGAAAAAACGAACTACAAACATATATGTATGTATATATATATATATATATAATAGTGGCGTGGCAGACAGGCAGAAGGACTTAATTTGATGAAGCAAAGTTCAAAAAACAAAACGTTTGTTGAAAATTTTTAAATTTTAGAGCCAAATTTGAAATAACCAAGTTCAACACAGCAAAGTCATTACTATGGCAACATTATCTTTGCAGTTCATTCAGTCTTTGAAATGCGTTTGCATGGATAATTTTAACTTGTTTCAGCATAATTGGAGATACTTAAAATGAACTTTCACATTCATGAACATTCACTTTTATCAATTTTCTTGTTTATTTATTTGTTTTGAGTTTAAACATATTTATAGTTAAGTGTGACACTGCGTGTGTGGATGTGGGTGTGTGTGGGCGTGAATGAACATGCCACTCCATTCCAGTCCGTCCGCTTGTATTTCTATCATTACATTGTGTAATTCTTATATTAATGCTACTACTTGTGACATGTTAATGTGTGTGTCATAATTTGTTACTACTGATTGCATTTTTAGTTTTTTCTCGTCTCTGTTTATATGTGGATATGCTAATTAGTTTTTATATATGTATGTGTGTGTGTGTGTGTGTGTGTGTGTGTGTGTGTGTGTGTGTGTGTGTAAAATTAGGAAGAAAACCAAATTCTAAACATTTGTCCGCCGACGGTCCGGCTTTTGTGGGTTTATAGGTTGAATTTTTAATTGAAGTGTTATGAATTTATGGGTGCTGGGTCGTCGGTAGATTTTTTGAGAAAATATATGTTTGCGTATATATATTTATTATTATCAATAATTTGTTACTACCGATTGAATTTTTGTTATTTTTTCGTCTCTGTTTATATGTGAATATGCTAATTAGTTTATATACATGTATGTATGTATGTATGCATCAAATCAAATTAAATATTGTATTTATATAGCGCCAATTATAATTGCTTCTCATCAGCGCTCTCCTCGTATGAAGCATGTTGAAAGCGAAGCCATCATCGGTTGAAATCACTAAGAGTTACCAAATAGGTATGTCTTTAGACGTTTTCTAAACTCAGCTAATGATAACCCGGATATGCGTAGTTCGATAGGTAGGCTGTTCCAAAAAATAGGCCCAGCAACTGCAAATTATCTATCTGCTACTTTCAGATTCCGATCTCTAACATACAGCGTGTTTGAATCTGCAGACCTTAGACGCCCATGTGATGACATAAATGAAACTGATGATACATGCATGTATGTATATATGTATGTATGTATGTATGTATGTATGTATGTATGTATGTGTATGTATGTATGTTAAAACCAAATCATTGACGAATGACACCAAAAGCCAAGCGTCTGACTAAATTTGATTTTATTTGCTATAACGTCACTCAACCCCGTCGGCATTCAACTCCACATGTATGTATGTATGCATGTATGTATGTATGTATGCATGTATGTATGTATGCATGCATGTATGTATGCATGTATGTATGTGTATGTGTATCTATTATTATCAATAATTTGTTACTATCAATTGCATTTTATTTACTTTCTGTTGATACTGTTATTTGTAGTTTAGGCACCGTTGCAAGTATTTATTTACTTTTTTGTGCCCTTACAAATAAATAAACAAATAAATATATATATATATATATATATGTTATGTATATACATGTGTATATATATGTATGTATGTATATATGTATATATATAATATATATATATATATATTAAAAAATGATTATAATAGTGAGTAAAATAAATCATGAGAAAAACAGTCTAGGTAACTAATGAGGGACACTGTAACGATAATAAGCGTTGTAACATTACACTAGCCTTCTGAGTGTTGATGATCCCTGCTCCCATTCATTCAGACACACCACAAATCTTTACTCAATTTGACCGTCCATGATAAACATCTGAAAATATTTCTTTAAAGAGCGATTTTGTGAAGAAATTCATATATACATCATTATACTATAAATTATATCTAACTTTGTTAAAACAAGAAAAAATAATTTTTAACTTGGTTTTATTTTAACAGTAATGTTATTTTAAATGAAATAAGGATGATTTATAATTTACATGTTAATTTCTTGCTTTGATGCTAATTACTTTTATGTGCCATATTCAAAACTAAAACATGACATGAGGGGGTTGGAGGTACTTTGTGGTCGCTGGGCTTCGGTAAATTTCGCCAACTTCAATAGATAGATGATAACCATGTCGGTTTTCTATGCGCCATCCATAGCAAAATTTTTTGTGCAGAAAAGTAATCCCAGATTTTAATTATTTTTTTCATAGTAATCGTAATCAGCAATGTAGTTACTGCAGTCTAATTCCTTCGATTGCTGATACGGTTTTGTTCAGTCGCAGTGATTTAATATTTTTGAAAATTAATGGCACAACAAAGCATATGTTATTATTATTATAATAACTATTATTATTATTATAATAATATTAATTATAATTATTATTATTAAGTAGTAGTAATAGTAATAGTAGTAGTTGTAGTAGAAGTGGTAGTAGTAGTAGTAGAAGTAGTAGTAGTAGTAGTAGTAGTAGTAGTAAATTAATACGTGCACACCTCACACAGGTCAGCTCAGCACCACTTCATCCAGGAGGCACTGCTTAAGAAGGATCAGAATTGGCAGACGAAGTAATTGAAACTTCCATTTCTGAAACGTATTTTGAAAATTGGCTTGCACAAACTAATAAACTGATTTTTTAGGGTTTCTGTTTAAATATTGTATTTATACTAACATAAAAACAAACGTCATATACATCATTTAAAATGAGAACACACGAAGCTGAGATGAAAACCCATTGTGACCAACGAAAGTGAAGAGAAACAAAAAATTAAGAGATCAAATACAAAATCATATGTAGCAGAGAGTTGAAAATGTGATTGTGATTTATTTAAATACAGGTTTAGTTAATAAATCCAGAAAAGGGGCAGCACGAGAGCAGCAAGATTAATAGTTAGAAAAGAACAAAAACTTACGACCGGGAATCAGCATCCTATAAGATGATTTCAGAATCGATCCACGATCCACCGATACGACTACACGATGAAATAGACGGCGCTGCAATTGTGCCAACTATCAACCGCCATGCACTAATTCCGTTCACGTGATTATGTTATACAGTCTGGAAATGAACAGGAACACGAGCCATTAAACCTCCCACAAAACTCCCACTAATACTATAACATTTATTTTATGCTGATATTTATTTACTGATAAATCAGCAACTCGTGAAAAAGTAAATTAGTCAAATTCAAGAAGTTTTATTTGTAAACATTACATTATTTCTGGTTGTGGTGGATTAAAGGGGGAGGGAGCGGGGTGGCCGGTGTCTCCCCCGTTGTGACCAGTGTTGGTATTAAAATTCGTTGTTTTAAATAAATAAAATGCCGTCTTTGACCAAAATTAACGTGATAAAGTTCGTTAGCCAGAAATGTTGGCCCGCTGCTCACCTGCTTTTAAACACGCTGCGAAAGATTTTAAAAAATCACCTCCCCCGGTGAATGTTTTATTGAAAAACTCTCAAAATTTAGACCTCCTCGTTAAAGTTGTCTGGATCCGCCACTGATTTCCTCTCCAGATAAAAAACTGGACTCTAGCGATAGAAAATAAAAATTTCATTCTCACATGATGCAACTAATGCAACATTTTTTCACTACATTGTATTATTATTTATTTATTTATTTATTAATTTTAATTATATTGTCATACGATTTTTTATTATTTTCTAAATAAAAATATCTATACTATTGATGCATAACACATGTTTTTAATCATGAGTTAAACTCCGGTTTATTTAGTGGGTTAACAGACCATACAGTGAATAAATAAATAAAAGCAATGGTAAAAATTTGTAATGTTATTTTGGTAAAACGTAAATAAATATAAAATAAAAAAATCAAACAGGATATGTTTTGGAATTATTTTAACTAGCAAATCAGTGAAGCAAAGAGTGAGACAGTTACTTCTATATGAAAATAGTCATTATGAATGATAGAAAATATGATCGAAATGCAAACAAGTCACAGGAATGATTTGGACGTGCATGAATGGTTACAGAAATTGTTTAATTTAGTTAACGTATTGCTATAAGAAAAATAAATTATTTGAAACGGTTTGGATTGGAAGAAATTACATATGAATTAAAGTGAGCCCAATAAATTAAACGTTAGCGTTAATTAAAATCATTCTTCCTGTAACGTACTATGCACTTTGGATGTAACGTTTCGTCGCGCAGTTTAATGTTTCATTCCCACCTTTGTAAGAATAAGTAACCTAACGCGAGCCATCGCAGGTTTCCGCCTGCCTATTTCCTTCAGTTTTATTAATTTTTATTAATTTAAAAATGTAAAACTGGTTTACTTGCTAAATTATGCGCGCAAAATTTAAAAAAAAATAAAAATTTAGATATTTTTCACAAGCCGGTTTAATGTTAGTCTTTGGTTTAATTACTTTCAGAAGGTGTTTAAATATCTGGGAAAATATTTGCACGGATTAGGAACCTCTAAATATTTTTTTGTGCCTTATATGTTAAGTGCAAAAACAGACAAAAACAAAATGTGTTTTTGTTGTGATTTTATTCATTCAAAATTAACAACAAATTTTTGCAGCTATTTTGAGTAAAAACAAATCAATTAAAAACTAATGTGCTTCACTATGCCATGCAAAAAAACTGTTGTTAATCTTTCTATGGAATGAGAGATTCTAGGTACTTGGCCAGCTCTTGCTTCTCATCTTCGCTCAACTTCGACACGTGGGCATCAACTGCAAATGTTTGCAAATTATTTCTAATTAGATTTACGATTTAACTATTTTTCAATGAAAAACGTCAGCTGATTCGCGCTTCGTGATGTTTGCCATTAATTTTCCAGTTTGTAAAATACTTACAATTTAAAAAACAGGTTTAAATTACATGATTGTTACAAAATTTTATTAAAAGTTTGAATAAAAAATAAAACATATGAACGAACTGTATGATGGCAAAGTTGCCGGTCTGGCTCCGCCATGAACGAGGTAGTCGATGGCTCTCTGCAGACGTTCACCTCGTTCTCCCACTGGAATGGTGTTCACCCTCTCCAAACATTTCGCTTTGATTTGCTCGAAGCTCAAAGTTGGTTGATCTGCTTGAACCAGAAGAACAATGGCCAGCCCGAGGAGGAATGAAAGAATAAGTTTACCGTGCATGGCTGGCTAGATGAAATTTTAAAAAATATTTTTATCAAACGAAATTATTTAAAATGTAAAAATGAATTTATTGTTTTGAATATTTCATGCATCTAACATAAAAATTTTAACAAGCCAAATATTTACCTCAAACTAAAACTTCAACAAAATTTAGCAAGGCAAATAATGAGATAGTGAATAAGGAGCGTTCCTGCACTTTTATACATGACTAAATTTCATTAAATAGTGTTCTTTAGACTTTCCAACCTTACATCGCATGATCATGATTTATTTTGTTTCAAATAGTGAGAACTTCTGAACTTCATTAATGGCGTAGATAAATTTAATATGGAACTTACATTTAAGTATAATTTTGATACTTTATAATGCGGTTTGTCGAACGCTTAACTGCTTACATATTATTCTATTCTTATAATTAAACCTGTGTGCCACATGGGACGTTCTATCCACGCCCGCAAAACTAAATTTTTAATTTCAAAAATTTTTAGATGTGTTTTTCCGTTTATTTGCATATATGTACGTGTGTGACTGTGTATGTGTATTTAAGGACCACATCTGAGTCTCTCTAGGGTTCACGTTCATAAAGCCAAGCGAGCAGGTTCTACTAATTACTTCAGCTGATTTGAATAAAGAAAGTTTGTTATACACGTTCTTACATACCATAGACATCTTAAATAATAATTAAGATGTCTGTGATGCACACACACATACATAAAAAAATTAAATTCTCTCTGTATCTTAGAAACTAAGATCTGTATCTTAAATGAATTAATAGCTTGTTTGAGTTCCTCATCGTCGTTCATTTTGTGCTCGTTGTTCTGGCCACTGTTATTTCAATTTTTAAATTAGCAATTTATTAAATTCTTGTCGGCAGATTCTTTGCTGTTTGATTATGATTTTATTTGTAAATAAATTGCTCTCTAGTTTTGCTATCTTCTAATTTCATACATGAAATTAAGACAGCTTAAGGTTGCCTTTTCGCGAGTTTGCGGATTAACTCTGCGGATGCGAGCGGTTGCGGTTTGGAAACATCTTCTCTGCTTGGGACTCTAGTATGCACAAGCTAGCACCGCATTATACGCGTTGATAGTTTTAAAGTTTCAGAGAGACAGTATTCGAACCACGAACGACTGAGCTAGCTTGGTGACTATCTAAAGATCAAAAAAACTTTACAAAATTTTTTATTATATTTTATTATAAATTATACATTCAGCAGGATTTTTTTTGCTTAATAGTTGAAACTGTGCATATTACCTGGCGCATAATTTTTTGAAATGCAAATGATAGGTAGTATTCAACTTGAAGCCTTTAGTGCTGTTTATTATCATTATTATAAACGTTTCACTGGTTTAATTTATATGCTATGCGTCTGTATATTTTATTTCATCATTGTCGTCAACCATTCTTTCAATCACAAATTCTCTTTGTAAATTGTATTTTTTCGTGCAACATTTTTAACTTGTTGATATTTTCATTCTTTTTTCTGTTTGACCAAAAATGTTTTTCAAGCTTTCAATATCTCGAATTGAAGCAAAGGTATCACACAAGTTATTTATTGCAAAATTAAGAAAAAGTTATCTGTAACCTATTTTTACTTAAAGAGTTTAATTTTAAACATCTGTTATGCATGTTATATAAATTGAACATCATCATTTTTCAAATCATCATAATGTTTATATATTTTTGCCCTATAAGCACTAAAATAACATTCTCCAGTTGATTTGGTAAGTCTACAATTTTTAGCTAAATTCATGTCATCTTTGCAGGCAATGGAGAAGAGTAAAGACGTTAAAACTGTCAATAAATGTTAAAAAAATTGTTCTGAAATGATATTTAGTTAGATTGTGAAAAATATAACATTCAAACCGCACAATTGGTAGGAAAGTTTTTGAAATTCCAGCATATTTTTCAAGTATATAATGAACAACGTTACACACCATCTGTCTAAAAATTTATTCTGTATACTTTGCAACGCTTTGCAACGGAATAAGTATGTCCTACATCGATGAAAACCAAACCACACAACGATAAATTATTGAAATTGAATCACTTCAAAGTTTTGTTTATTTGTGTTGCACGTTATTTTATAATGCTGTAAAATTTTGATCAACGTTCATTTATTGAAACATTTGTATCGTTAATTGTTAATTTTCTTTTTTTTAAATAATTTTTTATTATATTTAATATTTTGTTTGTAATTATATATAAAATGGTGAATAAATGCTCAGCTTACGGATGTAAAAGTGGATAAAAATCAAATGCTGCAAATGACGCCTATCTATTAAAAAATCTGGATTTGTGCGCTAGATGGGTACTTGCTAATCTTTGTAAAGATTATGTTTCAAACAATCATTCCAATATTTGTTCATTCCACTTTGACCAAGCAGATTTCGTAATATGTTTTTGTGATTGGTATAAAGGAAAATTGAACAGAACTGTGGGGCCCTCAGTACTGTTATGGAGAGGCAATGAAGAAAGATAAAAGAAGATGCAGTACCATCAAAATTTCAGACTGCACCTTCATATTTGTCCACTCCAACGCACTCCCTCAGTTGCTGTTTAATGCTGATCAGAAAAAATTCTGAATTGACAATGCATTTTCAAAAAGTAAAGCTTCATCAAATATAATTTGTTATTGATCAAACAAAATTAATTGATTTTTGAAAGGATGGGAGAAATTATTTTTGCAATTATTAATATGGGTTTTTTATTTGATTTATTCTTCAAGCTCCTCGGCATATAGAAAGTTATTTGAAAGTAAGGCATTGTGTTTGCCATCAATAAGAACTTTGGTAAAAGTTAGTAGAAGAGTTAATGTTAACCGTAGACTGAACAATGCTGGTTACTTAATTTTTCAATTAAATTTATTTAATCAGTTATAAAGAACTTGTTTTTTATTATTTTATAAAGTGTATGTTGCGAAGCGAGTCGATTTCAGTGGAGGTCACTTGTCTAGATTGACAACAGTACATTGTTATGCTATGTGATGAAATCATTATGCCATAACTATGAAGATACGGTGGCCATTTATCTTATAAATAATCTATCAGCAAATCAACTATTTATAGTTTATATGCAAACATCAATAGAAAAGGTTTGTTGAAGCCAGATGAATATAAATTTTCAACTTGTCTAGGCTGCTAGCAAATTTTTCAAACTATGAAAAAAATCAGAAACAGCTATAATATTTTTCAAAACTTTAACTATCAACGAAAACTTTTCACAACACTAGTGAATAAAATTATACACAAAATGATATTCTGTTTGTCGAAGATATGTTACGTTTTAAAAATCGTAACATCAAAAAAAATGGTCTGTAAACGTTTTTTCAACTGCATCTGTAAAAATTTTTAAAAATATTAATAACGATTTAAATAATAAAAAATAATTTAATAAATCAATTAGCTAAAAAAGTTGTAAAATAACAAAAAATTCGTTTTATATTTTTTTATTTCATGAATTTTTGATTAGTAAAAAAGATGAATTGTTAAAACAACTCTTTTGTTTCGTTTAAATTAAATAAAAATTTTGTGATTGCACTGCATAATAAGACTTGTATGCGCGCAGCACAAAGGCCTACTAAGCCAAATGATCGTTTTAAGATTTCATATCTAGAGACTGTTATTAATACATTATCACGTATGTTCCCATTTTTATAACTGCTGTAACTGTCGTCAGCGAAAGCATGTCAAAATGATGTTGTTGACAAAAACAACTATTAATTATAAAAAATAAAACACAAAAATAAATTTACTACAACTAAAAAAAATAAAACAAAGTATTTGTTTACACAAGCTATAAAATGGTAATTAATAGTTAGGTAAGTTTATGTATGTTTTTACAATTAATTTTGATATCGTCTAGCTTTGACTTAATTTTCAACATTTATTACGTCGTTCGGTTCGTTTGCATTTTCGTTTCGTTATATAAAATTTAACATAAGTGCGTAACAGTATCAATCGTTATATTTAAATACAAAAATTTTAACTGAAACGTGAAAATCAAAATAGAAGCCAGAACAAAAATAATCATAAAATTGAAATAAGATTTAACATAAAAATGAACATTTTACAATAAATTTGAAAAGAAATATGAAATGATTTAAAAAAAACTGCATTACTTGTGACAATTATATATAAATATAAGTTGATGTTTTTGTGTTTGTGCGTGTGTGTTAGTATGCGCGGTGCGTGTGGGTGTGTCGGCGTGCTGGTTTGCACGCTTTCAAAAAAACTTTCGAGTATAAGTTCATTTGAAGTAGATGGAAAGCCAACGTATGAAACAATAAATAAAATTTTATTGCTTTTCATCAGCATGGTCGACAACATTTCATTGAAAACGGTTCAAAATTATTGTTTTGCACATTGACTCATTCACAGGTGCTCGTGTATGTATGAATATTTGATGTGATGCGGTACCTATGATTTATACTTTCTTATTTAAAGTTTCAAATAAATTATAAAATGTAACATTTTTTTCAAAAGTTATTTAAATTAAATATTGTTTAGATTTATTCAATGATCTATATGGTGCAGGACTTAGAGGTCGACTGCCTATATTTATATCCAAATTTATTAACAATAGAGGATTTAAGGTTAAAATTAATAACGAAACTTCAAACTATAAATACCTAGAAATGGGAATCCCCCAAGGAAGTATACTCTCAGCCATACATTTTTGTATCAAAATTAATAGTATATGCCAATGCATCCCAAAAGAATTTTTTCAATCTTTATATATTTATGACTTCACAATTGCATATAAGCACAATTCGATGAAAAATATAGAGACAAAATTACCACATCGAAATCAATAGAGATTTGGGCAACACAAAATGGAATGTCCTTTTCTGAATCTAAAACAACAACCATGTTATTCTCTAATAATATGAGAAAAAGAATCCATCCCAACCTAATTTTTAAAAACTCTTCAGTAATTTTGTAAAACAATATAAAGTTCTTGATTTAACATTTGATAATAAATTAAATTTTATCCCCCATATCCAATATATTAAATGAAAAATGTATCAAA